ACAATATTCTGCTCTTGCACGACGGCTACACCTTGTACCACGGGCCACGCGACGCGTGCATGCCCTACTTTGAAGCGCTGGGCTATCGCTGCCCGCCGCACCGCGACGTACCCGACTTCCTCGTCGACATTGGCTCGCCCGACCTCGTCGGTCCGTCCATGAGTGCCCAAGAGCTCGCGACCGCGTTTCGGAGCTCGTCGATCCATGCAGCCATGCTAGCGCGTATGCAGCAGCCGTCGCTGCCGCCGCTTTCGCCCATTGCGCCCTTTGCCGAGCCATTTGTCGCCAGCACGATGTTGATTGCGTCGCGCCAGCTGCGCGTTTACCTCCGCAACACCGAGCTCGTCCAAGGTCGTCTCGGCTTGGTGCTTATCATGGGGCTCTTGTACGCGACGACGTTCTACGACGTCGATCCGTCGCAGGTGACGACGGTCCTCGGTGTCATCTTTATGGCGGTGCTCTTCCTCGCCGTCGGGCAGGTGCCGACGCTACCGATTATCCTCGACGCCCGGGCCGTCTTTTACAAGCAGCGCGCGTCGCAGTTCCACCGGACGTCGTCGTACGTGATTGCGCATGCGGCGACGCAGATCCCGTTTGCGTTGGCCGAGACAGTGGTATTTGGTTCGATCCTGTATTGGATCACGGGCTTCGCCGCCGACGCGACGTCGTTTCTGACGTACTTGCTCGTGCTCTTCTTGACCAACCTCGTCTTCTCAACGTGGTTCTTCGTCGTTGGCGTCGTGTCGCCCAACATGCTCGTGGCCGACCCCGTCGCGCTCCTCTGCGTTCTCATCTTTGTCGTCTTTGCGGGCTTTATCATCTCGGCCAAGGACATTCCCGACTACCTCATTTGGCTCTACTGGATCGACCCGCTCGCATGGTCTCTTCGCGCTCTCACAATCAATCAGTATACCGCATCCGATTTCAAGGACTGCTCGTTCGGCGGCATCGACTACTGCGCGACGACCGGCAGCACCTCGGCGGGCAAGGCGCTCCTCGAGCAGTACGGTCTTCGCACCGACCGGTCGTGGATCTGGTATGGCGTCTGGTATCTCGTGGGCTGCTACATTGCCTTTCTCCTCTTGGCGTATCTCATCCTCGAGTACGTTCGATTTGACGACACGGACCACAGCCACGTGGTCGGAGCCAGCTCTATTGACGGGCGCTCTTCCACAGATGACGACGACAGTGCGTATCTCGGGGTGCCCAAGACACCGACTGTGGCTATATCGGTGGCCCCCCGCGAGGTCGTGCCCGTGACGTTGACGTTTGAAAACTTGAGCTACACAGTGCCCAATCCGACGAAGGGCGAGCCCGACTTGCAGCTCCTCAAGTCTATCAGCGGCTATGCGCTGCCGGGTACGGTCACTGCGCTCATGGGGGCGTCCGGCGCCGGCAAGACCACCTTGATGGACGTCATCGCCGGGCGCAAGACGAGCGGCAAGATCGATGGCGAGATCAAGCTCAACGGCCACATCGCCACGGACCTTGCGGTTCGTCGGTCGACGGGCTACTGCGAGCAGATGGACGTGCACTCCGAGTCGGCAACCTTCCGCGAGGCGCTCCAGTTTAGCTCGATGCTGCGGCAGTCGGACGACATTCCCGCAGCCGACAAACTCGCGTTCGCGGAAGAGTGTTTGTCGCTCCTTGGGCTCGACACGATCGGCGACAAGATCATCCGCGGGTCGTCCGTCGAGCAGATGAAGCGTCTGACGATCGGCGTCGAGCTCGCGGCCTCACCGTCCGTGCTCTTTCTCGATGAGCCGACGTCGGGCCTTGATGCGCGCTCGGCCAAGATCGTCATGGCCGGCATCCGCAAGATCGCATCGACGGGTCGCACAGTCGTCTGCACGATCCACCAGCCGTCGGCCGAGGTCTTTGAGATGTTTGACTCGCTTCTTCTCCTCAAGCGCGGCGGCGAGACCGTCTTCTTTGGCGACCTCGGCGCCAAGGCCGTCCATTTGATCAACTACTTTGCATCGCTCCCGGGCACGCCACCGATCGCAGTCAGTATGAACCCTGCCGCATGGATGCTCGACGTGATTGGCGCCGGCGTCGAAGCGCGGTCGCAAGCTCTTGACTTTGTGAAGGCGTTTGCATCCTCGGCGGAGCGTCAAGCTCTCATGGACGGTCTTGCGGTCTACGCTGCGCCGCACCCCGAGCTTGAGGCGCTCACGTTTGGCTCCAAGCGCGCCGCTGCCTTCAACACACAGTTGAGTCTGCTGCTGCAGCGCTTTGTTCATCTCCACTGGCGCACGCCGTCGTACAACAACACGCGTGGCCTTGTAAGGTTGCGCTGGAGATTTAGAGAGCAGAGTCTAATATAAGGCAAATCCAAAAGTGAATTACAAGAGCTCGCGCTTCTCGCGAGCTCGCTTAGTCCGCCGGCGATCGGCCGCCGCGCTCGCAGCCACTCGTGGAGCCAGTACACTGTAGCGATCACGCGCGGCTGAGTCCGTGGCTTACCACCGGATACGTGATGCCATGCTGACACCAGATGGCCGGTCCGACCGACGGTTACAGCGGTCAGTCGTTACAGGCCTCATCTCGATCGCACTCGCCGTCTTCTTTGGCCTCTTGTACAACCGTGTGGACTTTACCACCTTCTCGGGCGCGACCGGCGGCCTCGGCATGATCTACCTCTCGTCCGACTTTATCGCAATGGTCTCGTTCTTCCCCGTCATGGTGCTCACGGTCGACGACCGCGGCGCGTTCTACCGCGAGCGCGCGTCACAGACGTACTCGGCACTGGCCTATTTTGTCGCGTTGACGCTGGCCGAGCTCCCGCACGTCTTTGGCTCGACCTTTGCCTTCGCCATCATCTTTTACCCGTTCGTGGGTCTCAGTGAGTCGGTCGGCGCGTGCTTGTACTACGGCTTCAACCTCTCGCTCATGGTGCTCTTCTACGTCTACTTTGGCCAGCTTATGGCGATTCTGCTGCCCAACGTCGACGTCGCCGGGATCGTGGGCTTCCTCTTTAGCGCCATCTTTATGCTCTTTATGGGTTTTGCACCGCCAGCGGCGCAGATCCCGAGCGGCTACCGCTGGCTCTACCACGGTGTGCCTTCGAAATTTAGCATGGCCATTTTGGCCGCCGAGACGTTTGCCAAGTGCACGGAGTCGACGCAGCTCGGCTGCAAGACGCTCTCGCACGTGCCGCCGAGTGTCCTCCAAGCGATGGGCAACGTCTCGAGTATCACGCTCAAGGACTATGTCGAGGGCATGTACGAGATGAAATACGACGATGCAACCAAGAACACGCTCGCAACGCTCGGCTGGATCGCCGGTGTCTTGGTCCTGAATGCGATCGCCCTCCGCTTCGTCAACCACCAAAAGAGATAGGACTAACTATATACATTGACTGCATGCATGGCTGGTTAACTTTATCCACATTCAACTCGACTGATGCCAGTACAGCTTTGTCGACTTCAATCTATCGTGTCATTGGCTGACGGATATAGCCAATCGATGGTTTGTCCCAATGGGTCAGGGACAAACCCAATATCGTTTTCAATGTTGCATCGCCAACAGAAATCCAGTACTGCCAAGTGCCTACTCTCTATGTACAAAGGATACGTTTGCCGCATCTGATCTCGAGGGGCCCGTGTCCATCGCCGCGACTTCAAGCTACGAACATCATCCGGGTGCACCCGACTATATCGTGGCCCACGACATAATCAAGCAATCGAAGCGTAATAGAATGCAAAAGTTTTATTCCCGCGGTCGCCGCCCGGTAGCAAGCATCCATCCGACCAACTGCTAAACTTTATTTTATGTCGAACGCAATAGTCTCTACGCATACAACCTCTTTGGAACAACGAAGATAACGCGAAACACCTGCATATATATCAAACGCGATGCACTTGGGCGCTAGAATGCGTTCTCCAACACACTCAGCACAGCAAGCACCATGACGCTGCAATAACGTCCGCCCACGATCACAGCAGTCGCACCGCAGCAGCCATCAGTTCTACTCCCATGTGCTTGAAGCTCCAGAACACAGACAGTGCACTGCAAGAATTGGGTGCAAAGCTACCACGACGTCCCCGCGCTGCAAACCGCGAAACCACCCATCGTCGCGCAGGTGCATGTGCACACACAAAAAAGAGCTACCGTGACACAGATGAGCTATGCCCGGCGCTCTATATACCGTATTCACGCCCTGTGGGTAAAGGACGTGCGTCTACGCGACCTCGCGCAGTTTTAATAAATCCTGCACTGGATTTGTCATCTGATCCGCCGTTACGGATCGTCTCAGATCGTGGGTGCGGCCAAAGCAGCTGGTACCAGCGAAGTAGCCGATGGGATGTGCTATGGTTCGTAAAGAAGCAAGCGCCTGCGTCGCACCCTGCCCACTTTTCGTCGACAACTGCGCAGTCCCTGTCGGACGTTGGCTTCTTTTCGCTGACCTTCGCATCGAGTTGCGTCGACGGCCTTGTTAGTTGGATCAGGCACATTGCAGTTGGACCAACTTCAAGTAAAAAAATCCACGTGTCACTTGCACCCGTATGCTCTGGATTTCGTGGCCCCACTCGCTCTGGCCCCTCACTTTTCTATTTGCCATGCGCGGTGCAAGCATCGTCCTCGCCGCGGCCGTCGCGTCGGCGCTCGGGGCTAACCCGGTCATCTACGAGATCTCGACGCGCCCGTGGCTCTATGAGCTCTCGCTCAAGTACAACCGGCCCATGTCGCTCGACGATCCGTCTGCGCTCGCGCTCATCCAGAAGGAGCTGCTGGCACTCAAGGCCGCTTACAACCCCGACTACATCTGGATGATGGGGGTGTGGCAGCTCGGTGCATACGGCCTGAACCTCGACCAGACCACCAAGAACGACGAGTTTAATTCGATTCTGCCTGGCTGGACCAAGGATGACGTGATCGGGTCGCCGTACGCAGTGGCCAACTACACGTGCAACCCGTCGATCGGGACGGACGACGACCTCCGCGCGCTCAAGTCATTTTTGAACGCCAACAAAATGAAGCTCATGCTTGACTTTGTGCCCAACCACGTCGCGGTGGACCATCCGTGGGCGTGCTCGCAGCCCGAGTTCCTCCTCCCGCTCGACCAGGCCGACCTCGGGTCGCACTCGTGCGCCAAGGGCCCGACCGTCCGTCCGCCATGCAGCGCCCGGTCGTTCTACACGGGCGGCGACTACTGGAACTCGGGGTGGGTCGACACCGTCCAGCTCAACTACTGGAACCCGGCGCTCCGGTCGGCGCAGATCGACACGCTCTCGCACATTGCGAGCTTGGCCGACGGCATTCGCTGTGACATGGCCATGTCGGTCCTCAACCGCGAGATCGAGCTCGCTTGGGTCAAGGACAACCGCAACGGCAACAGCTGCTCCACGGGATCGCAAGGCCGCATGCCGACCAAGTTTGCGTCATCGCCGCCAACGACGGAGTTTTGGGCCGACGCGATCCCGGTGCTGAAGGCCAAGTACCCGAGTCTCTTTTTGATGGCCGAGAACTACAACTATGGCTTTACGCCGACGCCGGAGGACCTCTACCTCCAGTCCCTCGGCTTTGACGTCACGTACGACATGGACGCGCTCAAGACGATCGATGCGATGCCGATCGGGTCGGGGAAGGCCAACTTTGTCAACCTCGTGCGCGCGAGCAGCACCAAGTACGCCAAGTCCGTGCACTTTGTCGAGAACCATGATGACAACCGCGCGGCCGGTACGCTCTTCAACTACAAGGCGTCGGCGGCGCGGGCAGCGGCGCTCGCCGTCACGTCGCTCCCCGGCTCCAAGCTCTTTTTCCATGGGCAGTTTGACTGCAACCCGAACCGCCTCGCCGTGCAGCTCCGACGCGGCGTCTCGTTCAAGCCCGACGCGTACTGCCAAACGTGGTTCGCCGATCTGCTGCAGACGCTCACGGACGATGTACACACGCGCGGCAACTGGCTCGGCATCGACTCGGCGCCGTTCTCGTCGACCGACGGCAGCGACGTCATCTCGTACAAGTGGCAGTACAACTGCACCGAGCGCCTCGTGGTGGCCAACTACCGCGACGCGTGGAGCAACGTCCGCATTCCGCTGGCCTTTCCCAAGATTGCCGACAAGAACACGCTCGTGACCGTCTCGGAGCGCCTCCTTGGTGCTGGCCTGGCGTCGAAGCGCTCGTGGACGCTACCGGTCAAAGACCTCGAGAGCAGCGGTCTCTCAGTGATCCTGAGCACTTTGACAGCCAAGTGTACGACTACTCGATCTGCCCGGCGTCGGCGGCTACTCCCGCGACGACGACGGCTACTCCCGCGACGACGACGGTTCCCGTCAAGACCCCCGCAGCGTGCACCAGCCCTGTGACAGATGGCCGCAACCGGACCGCGGCGGCATGGAAGGAGCGCTCGGTCTATCAGATTTTGACCGACCGCTTCGCGGGCGCACCGTCGTCGGGTGCCTGCAAGGACCTCTCGACGTATTGCGGTGGCACGTTCAACGGCATCAAGAACAACCTCCAGTACATCCGCGGCATGGGCTTTGACGCGATCTGGATCAGCCCCGTCATCGACAACAGCCCCGGCGGGTACCACGGCTACTGGGCGCGCGACTGGGACAAGATCAACGCGCATTTCGGCACGCCAGCCGAGCTCCAGGCGCTCGTGGATGCGGCCCACGCGCTCGACATGTGGGTCATGGTCGACGTCGTCACCAATCACGTTGCGCCCGTCGGCAGTGACTTTCGCTCGATCGTGCCGTTCAACGACCCGGCGCACTACCACCCGTCGTGCGAGATCACCGACTGGAACAACCAGACGATGGTCGAGACCTGCCGTCTCTCGGGCCTCCCGGACCTCGACCAATCGAACGCGTTTGTGCGCTCGTACCTCTTGAAGTGGATCAAGAAGCTCGTGGCCGACTACGGCTTTGACGGCGTCCGCGTCGACACGGTGCCCGAAGTCGCCAAGGACTTTTGGGCCGAGTTCAACACCGCCGCCGGTGTCTTCCAGGTCGGCGAGGTCTTCAACGGTGACCCCAAGTACGTGGGCAGCTACCAGCCGTCGGTCAGCAGCGTCTTCAACTACCCCATGTCCTTCACGATTGGCGACGTCTTTGGCGCTGGCCAGAGCATGAAGGCGATCAAGTCGCGCGTCGACGGCAACAGCAACTACGCCGATCCGACCATCCTCGGGTCCTTCGTCGACAACCACGACAACCCGCGCTTTATGCACAAGTACCCGAACAAGCAGGCGCAGCTCCGGGCCGCGACCGTCTTCTCGCTCACGACCGAAGGCATCCCGTTCGTTTACTACGGCACCGAACAGTACTACGGCGGCGGCGTCGACCCGGCCAACCGCGAGGCGCTCTGGACCAACCTCGACACGACGTCCGACTTGTACAAGATTCTCTCGGTGGTTCACCGCCAGCGCAAGAAGTCCCAGATCTGGCTCTCGCCGTGGGTCGAGCGGTACGCGGCCGACAACTTTTACAGTTTCAGCCGCGGCGCGTTCCTCGTCGCGCTCACCAACTCGAACGCGCAGCAGCACGTCAAGGTGACGTACCATCCGTTCAAGGACGGCGACATTGTCTGCAACATCTTTTGGCCCAAGGACGACTGCCAAACGGTCGCGGGGGGCGTCGACATTTACCTCAACAACGGCGAGAGCAAGATCTACGTTCTCAAGTCGATGCTCGCCTAAGTCTGCATTGTATAGCCTTTCATATAAAGCCTTGTCTTTCATCTTCTTTGTTCATTGCACTTAAGGATGGGCGTTTCAACGTATCTGCAGAGAGTGGAAATATAGTTTTTAGGAGAAGCATGCATATGCCATAAGCCAGCGAGACCTCGACACAGTGTCGATTTGGCTTAGGCCTGTCAAGTCTCGATAATTCTTCGCTACGACACCGAAGTTTCGGTTCAAAGACGGCAGCAGCATCCCGGTCGATCTTCGCTACTACACCGGTGCGTCGATTCAACGACAGCAGCAGCGTCCCCGTTCTTCTTCGCCACGACACCGCCGGTCCGACGGAACGACGGCAGCGGCATCCCGGTCAATCTTCGCTACGACACCGGCGGTCCGATTCAACGACGGCAGTAGCGTCTCGGTCGCTCTTCGCTACGATACCGCCGATCCGATTCAACGACGGCAGCAGCGTCCCCGTTCTTCTTCGCCACGACACCGCCGGTCCGACGCAACGACGGCAGCAGCGTCCCGGTCGTCTCGCGCTTTAATTAGGACGCTCCGCTCCAACGACGGCAGCCGTGTTCCGGTCGTCTCTCGCTACGAGACCGACGCTTCGACGCAACGACGGCAGCAGCGTCTCGGTCGTCTCTCACTATGACACCGGCGCTTCGGTGCAACGACGGTAGCAGCGTTTCGGTCGTCTCTCTCGCTGTTGCCTCGATGCGGCGACGGCAACGACATCCTGTCGTTCCCCGCTGCGACGCCAACGCTTCGATGACCCACATCAACCGTCGCCACCCGGGCCGACACTTCATACTGGCGCGCAAGACCGACATCGAAGCGAGTGGCACGGCAAAAGTCGCTCCAAGACGGTGTACCGCCACCAAGCGTCGTTGCAGCGACGTCTATCAACAGCACGGCCTCGAACGACAAGCACCATCACAGTCGCACGCAGCTGTCACGTCACAACAAACGCCAAGGCACGATGGCGCGGCTCCGAAGGGCTGCAGCGGTGACGAAGATGCCGCGCTACGTCTCCAGCTTGGCTCCTTTCTACTACCACGCCCGACCGTCAGTCAAGCGACGCGCACACCGTCGCCATGCAGTCGACAACGACGCCGATCACCTATCACTGGGGCACTGCCTCGCCACAACCCATGGCAGGCGAGGTAATATCAACCTCCTTTGCCCCCTTTGCTGGCAACAAGCACGACTCCTGAAATTCGTATTTCACTTGGTTGTACCATAGCCTAAATCACGTAAAGGTGTGTTCTGGATCCGTGCCCTTTCACGAAGAGCCTCCACGAAGAGGTGCGAATATTTTGGAACCAATACGAACCCGCGACTCCTCCATGCGTCCCTTTCGATATTAGAACAAGGTCGATAGCTCTGTGAGCTATCATGTATTCACCATCGCTTTTCATACCGATCGTCAACCAGGCTCTCGCCCGACAAGTGAGAACAAGATGTGAACCAATCCTAGCTTGCTGCCGCCGTCGAAACCCAAAGCCAAAGCGCCACGGAAAGATCTAGCAGATCGTGTGGCCGTCGTAGCGACTTTGTCGCCAGCCAACGCAAGTGGATGCTCATCGTGAGCGCAATCCAGATGTGAGCTGGCACCGGCACCGGCTTGTCGGCCACGTCCACCACCGCCGCCCACATCTGGTTCGCTGTCCACCCAGCTCTCTGTGGCTTCGTCTTTCTCTTCGTCGTCACGCGCTGGAGCCACATGAGGACGGTGGCGGTCTTGTACCGGTGCCCGCGGCTCGTCATACCGGTATCTGCCGTATCTTGCATTTTACCAAATGAAAATCAATCCGCCTTGCTCAAGGTCCATGCCTTAAACCCTAACACTAGGGTCTTTTGGCCTACTTTCGGGAAATCCTCAAATTGAAGGTCCCACTGATGTTCGGCCTTCCGCTGCCACGTTGGTATTAGCAGGCGGTGCATGGAATTGAGATAGACCATACTGTCCGCAAAGACTGTTATCTGGGCTGGCACCAGCAGATACCGGTACAGCAATGTATGTCAAGGCAGCCGGGGTGTCGATGGTCTTTTCGTGGCATCCGAGGCAACGACATCAGTGCTGTAGTGATCCAAGGCGTTCGCAGTAACCCTGCTGCACCAATGACAATGGCCAAGCACGGCACGAATCCTACGACGCTCATCGTGCCCTCGACGGTGCTGTCAGCGCGCTAGTGGTGCGAGATGCGGTTCCTCCCCGCGATCCTGGCGCCAGTAGAGCCGCTTTGTTATCCTAATGGGGTCTACCTATGAAGCTATCTATGCACAGCAGGAGCAAAAGAATGAATGCCACGACATGTGCTGGTTGATCATGCTTGATCATTTAATCATGACGCAGCATGCAATTGCGATGACGTCACTGGACATCGAAAGCCTCTCCACCGTTCATGGCCGATTCGCTTCACGTACTCTACTTGTGTACAAGAGTGCATTCGACTGCATTTTATAGAGGTTTTATGTGCTTAGACGCGGCTACGGACCGGCGCATCGCGCGAGCTCACGAAGTCGAACGTCAAAAAGTTCGCCGCGAGTTCGCGGAGGACCTTGACGACGGCGACGTGGTCTGGGTGGACGTCGTAGGCTGCAAGCACCTCGGGGCTCTCCATGCGCGCGACGAGGCCGTGCGTAAAGCCCTGGGCGTGACCGACCTTGAGATCTTCGCCAAAGGCCATGTCAATGATGCCGGGGACGACTTCCTTGAGCGCCAAGATGGAGTTGCCGAGGGCAGTGATGGCCTCCGGCGTCACTTCGGGCTTGAACTGGAGAAGGACAATATGTTCCATTGTGGACGAGTTGTTGGTTGTGCGGGAAATTGAAAAGTGAGCTCTGTACTGTGTGGTACATACCAACCTTGCCGAATTCGGCGTCGCGATCTTCGGGATCGGGAACTTCTCGAATTGCAACGCAAGAACTCCCTCTTTGCGTGATCTTTATCCCATAAGAATAGGCAATGCCTCGTGGGCGAAAAACGTTTGTCCCAGTTGAACCACAGGAAAGATAATTGCCCCATGTTGTACCCCGTGGGTTAAACGTCCTTGGTGCCACTTGATATAGAAAACCACGACCATCAATCCGGATACAACGGGACAAACGTGTGTAATGAGGGCTAAACCTTGGGGTGATGACCTTTCGCGTGATTCGTTCACGCCAAGCGATGCGGTAATCAACCCGCAGGTGCTGCGCAATCTTCGACCTTCGGCGTCCGAGCAGCCTCATGCATGCTTCCACGGACCTCCATGAGGTCTACCCCAAGAACTCGCTCCTCTGTACGTCGCCCATGGCCATCCGTCGACGCGAATGTGCTGCATGTAGGGCGTGCCGTGACCATCGTCTTGCTCGTCTGCGCACTGCCGCTGGTCGTGGTACGTCGTCGCCGGTCGCTGCGCCCGCATCATCCCAACGACGTAGCTACTTGGCCTCCTCGTGGGCACATATGCAGGCGTGGCCAAGCTGCGTGCGTGCTGCCGCCCACGCAAGCCACACGTGACCGACCGGTTCACTGCGTACCCACCGCCCGCACCGGCCGCCAAGGTCCCGTACACGATCGAGTCGACGTACGTGACGATGGCCGATGGCATGCGCATTGCGCTCGACGTCTACCTGCCACTGGGGCCCATGCAAGCACGCCCTGTCGTCTTCAACCAGTCGCGCTACCAGCGGTCGGTCTCGCTGCGCTGGCCGTTCCGTCTCTTTGTCAACGGCGGCAAGCCCGTGGGCTTTATCAACAGCGGCTTCTTTGCGCGCATGCTCGCAGACGGCTACGCAGTCGTGTCGATGGACATTCGCGGCTGCGGCGCGTCGTACGGTGTTAACACGCGGCCGTGGTACGTCGTTTCATCTTATAGGCGTCTCATGGTCTTTAGGAATGTACAAGAGCGTCTTGACTCGGTCGAGGTCCTCGACTGGATCGTGCAGCAGCCCTTTAGCAACGGCCAAATTGCGCTCTGGGGCATCAGCTACGAAGGCACGGCCGCGTACCTCACTGCGTCCATGAAGCATCCGGCCGTGAAGGCATGCGTGCCCATGTACATGTTTTATGACGTCTACCACGACATTGCTTGTCCTGGTATGTATTTTTGTTGCGTTTTTTTCGCACACTCATGGGCGTGGGTTAGGTGGCATCACGCAACACTATTTCCCAACACTGTGGCAGGCCTTCAACTCGGTCGTCGACAGCAACGACTATGGCAAGCTCGACTTGATGCTGCGCATGGGGTCCTGGTTCATCCAAGGGGTGACGCCGGCGTCCACGTCGTACGCGGATCTGGTCGCTTCGTCGTTCCAGATGCACGTCTGAACTTCCGTTTCTGGGTAGGTGGCTGCGGTCGCAGACCACAAGAACAACTGGATTGCGACCGATGACGTATGCACTCGCTGTTTTTTGGACGGTATCCAACAGGCGAATGATGTAGATCACACCGACCTTGCTTCGCAACTCGCCATCCGTCACGACGCCCGACACCACCGCGGGGGACCTCTCGCTCCACCAGGTCTACCACGCCTTTCAAGAGGCCAACGTACGTCATCAAATATTGTCTATGGATCGCAAGACAATATTTGTACGGACTAGGTGCCGACGCTCTTTTACAGTGGCTGGTTTGATGCGACGGCGCGGAGTGCGCTCCAAGGCTTTTGCACCTTGCCGGCGTCGAGCAAGGTGGTAATTGGGCCCTGGAACCACGGTGGTCTCCAGTTCTGGAATGTGGACACCAACACATCCCAGATGACTGAATTTGACCACTTTACACCAGTGCTGGAATTCCTGCAGCGCCAGTTCCAGGTCGCACGCAACCCGTCGATGCCCGAGCTCGAGCTCGAGCCGCTCGTTCCGTCCCCCACCCACCATTGGCAGCGGGGCGTTGATTACTTCTTACTGGGTGAGAACCGCTGGCAGCACAGCGAGACGTGGCCCGCCCACACTCGCCGCGCAATCTACTACCTCTCGATGGATGCGCCGCTTGCGCTCACCCCGACGCTCTCGCATGTGGCGGGCGGTACGGCGACCATGTCTGTGCTTGGCCAAAAGGTTGGATCTCCGCCATCTCAATGTCAATCTCCAACCTCAATGTCAATTCTATAGTCGATCGGCGGCAATTCGCGCTGGCACGCCACGATTCGGATCCGAGACCCGATTGCATACACGCATTGGGACGCCACCAACCACCTTGCGTTTGCGTCGCCGCCGCTCGAGAGCCCTCTCAAGGTAGTAGTAGTATCTCGATCCGTCGTCGCAACCACTAAGAAATGATATGCAGATTGTGGGCAGCGCCGTCGTGACGCTCTACATTGCGTCGTCGGACGTCGATGCGGACCTTTTCGTGTACCTCGTGGCCGTGCACCCGCGCACGAAGGCGCTCTCGTACATCACCGAAGGTCACATGCGCGCGAGCCACCGCAAGGAGACGACGGCTCCAGCGCTGCCGTCCGCGCCCGACGCCGACGTCCCCAACCACAGCTTCCACGTCGAAGATCAGATGCCGCTCGTGCGCGACGAAGTCGCCTGCGTCCGCTTTGGCTTGCTCCCGATCGCGTACCGTGTGGCGGCGGGTGCCTCGATCCAGGTGCGCATTGGCGGCCGCGATGAGCGCCACTTCTATGACGCGACGCCGTCGACTGGCCGCGACGTGACACTCCACGCGTCATCGACGCACGTTGCCAGCATCGACTTGCCAGTCGTAGCGACCGAATAACGTCACCAAGCGATGTATGTGACGATGGTTGCAAGCCCTTGGTGTGTGGCACAAGAGTTGCAATGCGTCCGTGAGCTGCTAGAGGAGCAACAAGTGGTCGTGCCTGGGAACGCGGCAACAGTTGGTCGCTCGCCAACGATCGGTCGGTCGTGGTTCGTCAAGGCGAGCAGTCTCTCAAACGAGAACGGGTACGGACGACATGGGGTCCAAGACGTTGCTGCGATGACCCTTCGTTGATCTACGCATAGAAGGTTGTTGGTGCATGGGTGGACATAACCTTGGCTTTCTTAAGATTGTCTACGCCACCTGCTAGAACCGATAAGCTGCAACCACTGCGCCAGACTTCGCACTTGCATCGCAACGATTCAATGTTCGCGCTCCGGACGTGCCACGTCATGTGGCGCACCTAATCGGGTCAGGCGTACTTTCTCGTCGCCATCCAGTTGACACTGCGAACAAAAATGGGCCAAGGCAGCTCCAAGTACGCACACGCGAGTAGGTCTCTGCTGCCTGCCGCCGCCTGATGTGCGACTGCATTAGACAACGACTACGAGCTCGTGATCAAGTGCTCCAAGGAGCTCGAGTTCATCCTCGAGCATGACTTTTCGGCGACCGGCCGTGGCCTCCACGAGAAGATCTCGTCCGCGACCAGCCTCCCGCCCGAGCTCGCGCGGCAGATGCGGTACCTCGCGACGATCCGCAACAAGCTCATTCACGAGCGTGGCTTTGACGCGATCCCCGACCGCGCCAACTTTATAGCCAAATTCGAGCAATCGGCCAAGGAGCTCGAGACGATCGTCAAGGCGCGCCGCGGCCCGAGCGGCGACGGCGCCTGCCGCATCATGTAATAGCTTGCCTTTCTCTCGGTGCGGAAGCCAAATGTTGCTCTTTCTTGCATCCTGCGCGGTGGATCTGCAGGTGCGACTGTCTGCCATCCCATCAAACACTCGTGCTACCAACGCTACGGCGGTCCGTGGACGAGATGCGCCTACTTGGTGATGATAGAGCGAAGCCTCGGCGATGGGCCAGGCAGGTTTCCAAGGCGATAATGACAAGGTACGAAGGGCAAGCGCCTGTCTGCTGCCATGGAAAAGAATCTTCTTGTCGGTTTCGATCCCGCAGTCGTTGGCAACGACATTGCATTTCCATTCGACGATGGAGAGCCCGCGACAGAACTTTGTCAAGCGCCTGGTCTCGGGCGTCACCTTGGCCAGCGCCGTCCTCGTCTTCTTCTATGCGTCGCCCAACATGGCGACAAGCGGTATCGCATCGCTCGTCGTCGCCATGTGCCTCTACGAGTTCGCTTGGCTCAGCGACCGCATCAAAGCGTCGCTGCGCAAGCCGCTGCCGGCGTCGCCGACCGCCATCGACCATGCCCAGAGCCTCATCGGCCGCGTGTCGCCGGTTCGCCATCGCCCGATCGCCTTGTTGGCGGCGCTATCGGCCACGATCCTCGCCAGCGCGCTCGCGGTCGGCGCCTACTACTGCATCGACGTGCACATTGAACCAAGTGCGTTCCAGCAGCTCTTGCTACCGTACGTGGCCATGGCGACCTTTGGCACGAGCCTTGCCGTGCTCTACGCGCCGTCGTTGGTCGCGGCGACGGTCATTGTCATTGCGCAAGGCAGCTTCTCGCTTGTTGTGTGCAACTCGCTGCTGTGCCCGGTGGCGGAGGCGCGCTGCGTCTTCATCATGGACTCGAGCTTCATGCTCATCTTTGGCTCGTGCGCCATGTACCTCGTGCATGTATTGACGGCCACCACGACGTCGGAGGCGGTCGCCGCCATCGTGCTCGACCAGCTCGCGCTCATCTATGTGGTCGGGACGTCGCAGATTCTGGTCAATTTCGTTGTCTTCTCGGCCGACTCGGAGACGCGCAAGCTCATCGTCGTCTTGCTGCTCACGGTGTGGGCCGGCGACAGCGGCAGCTACCTCGTCGGCAGCGTCCTCCGACTGTACAAGTACACAACCGTGCGGTTCCTCGCGCCGCACTTGTCGCCCAACAAGGACATTGAAGGCACGGTCGGCGGCATCCTCTTTGCGCTAAGCATGATGTTTCTCGCCGTGTACCTCACGGGCTTTTCGCGGCCCATGGTCGGGAACGTACTCATGACGATCGTCGGCTTTGCGTTCGGCCGCGTCGGCGATCTCTTTGAGAGCATGATCAAGCGGGCGGCGGGCGTGAAGGACTCGAGCGCTATGATCCCAGGCCATGGCGGCATCATGGACCGCGTCGACGCGCTTTTGTTTGCGAGCGTGGTCTTTTGCATATTCACCATGGACAATAGACTATTCCACTAAGAGGGTGGACATTATTGTCTGTATAGCCTAGGAGGACACGCGCGAATAACTTAATATATGTATATCGTTCGATATACACGCCTTTCTCGGACGACGACGATGTGCAAGTGCAAACTGGACGATAAATGTCCACGATGCTGTCTCGCTTCGTGCATCGATAACCCTTCAACGCCCAACTTCCTAAAAGACTGCGCGATCGCGCAGGGGTGTCCATAATTCACAAAGATAATCAAGGGAGCTGCAACAGTTAGTAAATAAGAAATGAGTCGCCATGGGCTACTGGAACCGCGCGAGCTTATGCTTCAAGAACGCCGCGAGCTCTGGAATCTCGACGACCGAGTCGGGCGGCAGCAGAAACTCTGGTCCGTCGCTCATCGCGTTCGGCAGCATGGTGGGGTACGGCAGAAGCGGAACCGGCTCCAAGTCGGCGTCGCGAGTACGCTTCTTGAGGCTCGGCGTGCTGCTGCCCGAGTCGTTCTCGTCGTCGTCGTCCTCCATCTCCATGTCGTTCTCGTCGAGGATGTCGATGCCGTTGGGCGCCGTAAGATCTTTGCGCATCTTGGCGCGGCGGCGGCAGTAGAGCATAAAGGTCGGGCTCGGCGCGACGCAAATGCAGTGCCAGCGACCAGTCGCTGGGTTGAGCTCGAAGGCGTAGACGCAGAGCACGTGCTGTGTGTTGGCCGTGTGCCGGTTGCTCGTCCAGCCGTAGTGCCACCCGCGCTTGAACGTGTTGATGCTGTAGATGTACCCGACATCGTGCGAGCCTTGGAGGACGTCGCCGGTATACCACGGCGCGTGCACGTCGCTATCCTTGTTCGACAAGGCGGCAATCTTCTCGGCGGTAAAGACGTCGTGGAGCCTCGCGTTGCCCTGCGGCTTGCCGTTGACAAACGGGCAAAACTCGGCAAAGACCGCGATCGTACCCCGGTGGCTCACGTGGGCAGCCGACGCGCCGACGAGCACCGACCCGCCGCAGAAGCCGGTCGCCGCGTGGATGCCCGAGCAGCAGTTGGGGAAGCAGCGGAGGTTCTTGAGGCCGCCCTTCTTGTTGTTGCGCTGGTACTGCGGGCGAAAGCTGAGGCTCGAGAACGTGAGCGTAAACGCGTCGTCACTCATCGCGCTGCTGCTGCTGGTAGGAGGAGGAGGTCGAGGTCGGGGGCGAGGGACGAGGATCTCGCACGCTCGCATCAAAATCAAATCTGGGATGCAAGGCCATTGGCTGCAGTCCGGCACCCACAAGTGCAAATGGTCCGTTATCCGGACAACGTCGTCAACATACTTGATTTCACTATCGTGATCGGGGGTGCAGCATATTATCCGGACAAGACAACTTGTCTGTCGCAACCAAGTTGATGCACACATGCCACGGGGCTGTAACGAGCCGAGGAAGCGCGCACCCAGGCACCAAAGAAGGTGTCGAGGATGCTAAATGCGAGCACAAGAGGAGACGCGACTACGGTAGTAGTAGATGGTAGAAACTTAATCAAACGATTTGAAATGGCTTGTGCGCCAGTGTACGAAGCCGGTGTACGAGGCGGGCTACATACTACATCGTACGAGAGAGGCGGGCCACGGGCCACGATGATGACGATGTTGCAAGGTTGCACGTAGTATTATAGTATGCGCGGACTGACCGGTTGGTGGTCGTTCGACACATGATATGGAACAGAAATCTGGGAATCAAAGACAGTCCCCTTCTTGGAGATCGCGAGTCATCGCTGCATGTCCTCAAATCGATGCAAACTTGCGGCGAGTGTGCATCGCGCGGAGGATGGCGTTGCTAATCGCTGTGAAGAAAAGGTCCAGTCTTTGATCGCTATCGTCCCTACCACCAAGTGTACTGGTACTCGAAATTTACTTTCCTTGCTAGCATATATCAAGAAAAGGGTTCATGAAGCGGGCAATCATTCTATCCGGATGGACACTGCTCGCCACGTAGCGCCGTCCGAGTCTGCAAACTGCGTGGGACTCAAACTGTGTACCGGGACAGTAGGTGAGGTACCGGTACAATTGTACGAAGAAACGACGTCCTTTTCTGATCCTCGGAAAATTCTCAAAACACGGCTGGACCTCGATGATTGACTCGCTCTTGGCGGTCGCGGATCACATACAACGTTACTCTTTCTTGAGAGACGACTGCGCCACATCGCCTGGCCACATCGTCCACACGAGCCTGCGTCGGTCCGCGCGTGATTGCAACGATCGTCTACCAGGAGGCGGCGATTCTACGCGATCAGAACGACGGCGGATGGTCCATCGTACATCGTAGATGTGGAGAACCTCGTCGTGGAGACTACAGGAGTGAACCAATGTGGCAGAGACACGCATTTCCAATCTATTCGAACGCTTTTAGAGTCAAGTGCAAGTACACGAGGGAGCCATTTGAGCTGATGGAGCGCTCCACCGCGCTTATCTGATGGGAACAAGGACTGCGATGCAGTGATCAACGCAGTTGTGTCTATGGGTATGAACCGGCTGCCAAAGCAATGATACCAGTGCTCGACCTCAGGTCCACCAAACGAAAAGCCTCTGGTCCTCACAATACTGACGCTTCTGTTACGTGGGACTTAGCAGCGCCTCGAGGTCAGCGACAACGGCGTCGTCCAAAGTCGCGAGTTTGTCGCGGGATCCAACAGCAGGTATCCTCGGTGGCGCACTTGGTCGGCGACGCTTCCGGGTGTGTCGTGTAGCCTCGACGCTGCCGTCGTTGCGGCTCGTATCGACGCTGATGCTGCGCAGTGCCAACACTTCCACACGTGCCTTGGCTCGTCGACGGCAGTAGAGTTGGAACGGAGGACTCCACCCGACGCCGACGCACGTCCAGAAGCAGCAGTCGCGCGTCGCCTTGTTGCGCTCAAAGACGTACACGCACAGCACGTGCTTGGTGTCGGCCATGTGCCGGTTGCTCGTCCAGCCATAGTGCCACCCGCGCTTGCGACTATTGAGGCTGTACTCGCCGGGTGCGATCCTGTCGGCCACATACCACGGCGCATGGGCAGCTGCGTTCTTGGCGGCGAGGCTCGTGAGCTGCTCTGTGGTCTTGATGTCACGGAGGCGTGAGAGACCGGTGGGCTCGAGCGTGCTGGTATCGAGCGGGCAAAACTCGGCGCAGACGAGCACATCATAGCGCGTCGTTGTGGTCGCAACATGCACGATCACGGGGCTGCCGCAGAAGCCGGTGGGCATATGGACGCCGTTGCTGCAGGTGGGGAAGCAGCGGAGGTTCTTGAGTCCGCCCTTCTTGTTGTTGCGCTGGTAGTACGCGCGGAAGCTGCCAACCAAGCGCACATCCACCGGTGGCCGGTCGACCATGTATTGCAACCGTACTAAACGAACTCACGCTGAAAATGCAGCCGCGATACGAAAGCACAGTGAAAAATCGAGCGATGCCATTGGCTCGGCAACCTCAAGTTGCCGTTGCGCTCAACTTCCACGCGCAGCTCACTGACCACTGACGAAGCGACTGTACTCCACGGATCCGCGCCAGAGACTGTTATGTAAAACGTAGTAGTCTTGGTGTGAGGCGGCGCGTTATTACTCGCTCGCTGAAGGAAGCAGAAAGGCTTGTGCTAGCGACAGCAAGAAGAGTACTTCCTAGTCGTTTCTTATTGCATATACCTCGCGCCAAACGATGCAAAATGGCGCGAGACGATATAGGTACGCCGTTGCTACCCGAGAGTCTCCATGCTGCAGGCTAGCGCATGCAGTGAGCTCGAAGGCGGGTGTGGTACACATCGGAGCCGCCAGGTGCACGGTTCTCATTGGCAGCGTCAAAGGTCGATATGTGGTCGTTGGGCTAACATGCTGGCACAGGAGCAACATTGACCACAATTTCGGTCCGGCACCGCGCTTGGTTGGAGTACCGGCTAGCACACGCAGTGCACACCGAAACGTTTGAACGCCAGCGCCAAGCACGCGCGCGCAAGTGTGGCGACCCTCCCATTTCCTCTTCCAAGTGGTCTATAGTCTTCCTCGGTTGCTACAGTGAGACCCATGCATATATGACCGACAGCACAAGGACATGTGACAACACTTATCCAAAATCTTACAGTTCATCAAGCCAAGCGACTTACGCCAGCCGCGCCGCGTCCACAACTTGGTCGACGACCGTGAGGTAGTTGCGCGAAAAATGCGCGGTCAAGTGCTGCGTGAAAGCAAAGACCGGGTAGCCCTGTGCATCCGTGAGCGTGATCTCGTCGCCGTTCGAGTAGTTGTCGGCGTAGTCGATGAGCGTCGCGTTGGCCGCCTTGACGGTCGCGTGCAGCGGGTCGAGGAGCCACTGAAAGTCACGGTTGAAGACACTCTTGCGGAACGGCGTTGGGAGAATCACCGTCTCGCCCGAGACCCACGCCCACGGGTTCATGTGCTCGTACTCGGGACTCTGGTTGACGACGAAGACCTTGATGCCCATCTCGTGGAGCTTCGTCAGCTCGTCCTTAAGCGACGCCCACATGGCGTTGACGTCGTCCATGTTTTGCTCGTCGCAAGGAAGGTAGTCGTCGTAGCAGCACGCCGGAATGTCGTTGCGCGGCCGATCGGACGGACCGCCCGGGTGCATGTACTGAAAGTAATGCACGATGAGGAGCACCGCTTGGGGCTTCACTGCGTGGACCATGGCCAGGTTCGCAAAGTACTCGGCCCGGCACGAGAGGAGCGGCCGCGCGGACCAGCTGTTGATCACGATGGTGGGAAATTTGTCGTCGTTGTTGGCGGTCGCGTCCTCGAAGAGCTTGACGAAGCGCGGCTTGGACATGTCGGCATGCGAATCCCCAAGCACAACCAAGAGCCCATTGTCTTTCTCGTGGCCGGGGTTGATGACCTTGACTTCGCCGGAAAAGTAGTTGACCTGATGGCCAAAGTTGGCGGGTCGGATCAAGTTGGTGATGTACGGCGAATCACGCGGGCAGTCCTCGCCCGTGCCCTCGTTCCAGCCAAAGTCCTTCATGGCCTGTTGCGCTTGGCTCAAAGTCGGGGTGGCTGACGCGTTGCTGGCCAGCACCGACGCGTCGACAAGTGCGGGGGCGGCGGCGTTCTTCAAGCCGATTTCAATCATGGAAAAGTCGGCCGGGTTGGCGTGGACCGCCGCTGCAAACGCCGCAATGCAGACAACGCCCAACACAAGCACGGGTGTAATGTACTTGTGCTTGCTCCGGCGCAGCCGCATCTCGACGTCTTCGTACGTCGCGACGCTCAAGACAAACGAGATGACGAGGACGACCCACGGCTCGGCGAAGAATGGCCGCGTCGCCACCATCGGGTACCGGTCCTTCGTGATGACGAGGAGCGGCCAGTGCCAGAGGTAGAGGCAGTAGCTGATCTTGCCGATGTACACAACGGCGGCATGGCTGAGGACGTGGTGGTTGAAGGGCGCGCGGGGACCGGCCGCGATGAGCAAGGTCGCGCCGACCGTCGGCAAGAGGGCCCAAAAGCCAGGGAACGCGCGGTGCTCGTTGATCGAG